AAAAAAAAACAACCAAATAATTTAAAACAATTAAACAAAATAAAAAAATATGCTTTCTTTTGAAATTGATAACTTAAATTATGTAATTAAAAGAGCTAAAAAATTTTTTAAACAGAGAGCGTTTATTTACGTTAGTCTAAGAAATGTCTCATCACAACAAGTCCTCCCCAGTTTAGATCCCTTAAAAGCTTAAAACACCTGTTTTCTCAGAAAATCTAGATAATTGCTTGTTTGAGACGATTTACGAAGAGATATCCAAATAAGATATGTTTCTGTGGATATCTGACATTTTAAAAAGAGGTCAAAGGAGCAAAAGGCCATAAAAATGAAAATTTAAGAAGCAAAGTACTTTTACCAAAGTGTGTAACATGAGGTGGCTGTTTTTGAGGAGTCAAATAACTGTCTTTGTGGGGGGTTTGGCCACCAGAATTATATGCCAAAGTGGGTGGAAAGGAAATTGTTGAAAGTCAGGGGTGGCTTTGAAACCAATTTTTATCAGTGAAGGTTGCATTTTATTACTCTTTCCGCCAGGGAAGGGCAAAAGAGATGAAGTTAGGATGAGATTTTCTCTTAATTATATAGAAAGTTATACGTGAAAAAAAAGTCTTTGTCTTAAGAAAGTTTTTTAGACAGTTTTTTTTTTTCTGAAATTACCAATTTAACTTAATTTTATTTTCACGAATGTTTAAATTTCAATAAGGGTAAAGCAAATTATTCGCCTTTCAATCAAATTTCAGAGGAAAATAAAAGTTTTAATTTCAAAAATAGCTTTAAAGTAGAAAAAAAAACAGTACTTTTTTTCAAAAGTTACCAATTTAACTTGACTTCATTCTCACGAATTTCCGAATTTCAGAAGTGGCTAAGAACACTATTCGCCCCCTCAATTAAATTTCAGAGGAAAAAAATTTTTTTTAAAAAAAACTTTAAAGTTGAAATTTTGTTTTTCTAAAATTACGAATTTAACTTTATTTTCACGAAAGGCTAAATTTCAGAAGGGGCGAAGCACATTTTTCGCTCCCTTAATTTAAATTCCCAGTAAAATAAAGTTTTTGATTTCGAAAATAACTTTAAAGTAGAAAAAAAAAATAGGGCTTTTTTTCTAAAGTTATCAATGACATTATTTTCACGAATGGCTAAATTTCAGAAGGGGCGAGGAACATTTTTCACCCTTCAATTGAATTTCAGAGGTAAATAAAGTATTTTACTTAGAAAATAACTTTAAAGGGGAAAAAATAGTGCTTTTTTCCTAAAGTTATCAATTTAACTTGACTTCATTCTCATGAATGTCTAAATATCAAAAGGGGTCTAATGTCTAAATATCACTCAATTAAACTTCAGAAGAAAATAGTGCTTTAAAAAAAAAAAAAAAAAAAAAAACAACTAAAGTTGAAAAAGGGTTCTTTTTTTTCTTTCTAAAATTGCCAATTTAACTTAACTTTATTTTCACGAATGGCAAAATTTCAGAAGGGGTGAAGCACATTATTCGCCCCCTCAATTTCAATTCACAGTAAAATAAAGTTTTTAATTTCGAAAATAGCTTTGAAGTAGAAAAAGAAATGGATCTTTTTTTCTAAAGTTACCAATTGAACTTGACTTCATTCTCACGAATATCTAAATTTTATAAAGGGCTAAGTCCACTATTCGCCTCTTCAATTAAATTTAAGACAAAAAAAAATGTTTTTTTTTTTCTTCCAAATTACCAACTTAATTTTATTTTCACGAATGGCTTAATTTTAGAAGGGGCGAAGCACACTATTCGCCCCCTCAATTGAATTTCAAAAGAAAATAGTGTTTTTTTTCTTACATTTTTTTAATAAAAACTTCAAAGTTGAGAAAAAGTTCTTTTTTGTCTTCTGAAATTACCAATTGAACTTAACTATGTTTTCAAGAATGGTTAAATTTCAGAAGGGGCGAAGCACGTTATTCGCCCCCTCAATTTAAATTCACAGTAAAATAAGTAATTTTTGATTTCGAAAATAACCTTAAAGTTGAAAAAGAAATGGTTATTTTTTTCTAAAGTTATCAATTTAACTTGACATTATTATCACGAATGGCAAAATTTCAAGAGGGGCGAAGTACATTACTCACCCTTCATTTAAATTTCAGAATTAAATAAAGTTTTTTTCTTAGAAAATCGCTTCAAAGTTGAAAAAAGTTTTTTTCTTCCTTTAAGTTTACTAATTTAAATTGACTTTATTTTTGTGAATGTCTAAATTTCAGAAGGGGCGAAACGCAATATAGGCCCTTTTATTAAATTTCAGAAGACAATAAGGTTTTCTTTTTGAAAAATAGCTTCAAAATTGAAAAAAAAAATTTTTTTTTCCTAAAATTACCAATTTTACCTAAATTTATTTCTTGCCTTCATATTTATTATAACCTCTTACTTTAATTTTAGAGGAAAATTAGGTTTTTTACTTGGAAAATAGCTACGAAGTTCAACTAAAAAGTTACTTTTTTCTAAAATTTTATTTTTTGACTATTTTTTACTCGGAATTTAACTTGATTTTATTTTCTCGAATGTTTAAATTTCAGGAGGGGCGAAATATATTGTTTGCCCCCTCACTAAAATTTCAGAGGGGGCGACTGCCCCTTCTGCCCCCCCGGCTGGCATGCCACTGCTCCCGACTACCTTTTCTTCCGACGGATCCGGATTTCTGACCCCTAACATTTAGGGGGTAGCCGCAATCTGGAAAATAGGGTCCCGATAGTTTGGCCAGGAAAGCGCCCTAAAGTTTGGACCCCTTTGTTAATTTTACTTTCTACGTATTTCGCTATATCTCTACAACTGTTTAAGTTGACTACCTGTTAACATTTTTGCACACAATTATAAAATTCGCTTATCCAAAAATAATTCAATGCCAAAAATAAATTTTAGTAAATATTTATTATTTTATTTAATAATGATCCAAACAATTTTGGAATGCAAGGCAGACAATTTTTTTCATAATTTTAAGGAATGTAATTTTATTTAGCAAGATACAAAGTTCGAGCAAAATCGGTCGAATAGTTCCTGAGAATTCGCATTTTAAAATATCTGACTTTTTTGAAATTCTATTTCTCTGGACCTACTCGACCTATTCCACTGAAATTTTTTCTTTTTGCCACGTAAAATTACATTCCTCAAAATAATGTAAAAAATTATAGATCTTACAATTCCAAAAATAAAAAAAAAAATTTCCACGAAATTAGCTCTGGAAAAACAAACTTTATAATTGTGTGCAAAACTTTTTCAATTCGCTTCGATACAGCGAAATGCGCAAGTAATAAAATTAACAATTAGGGGGTCTAAATTTTGAACCACTCTCCTGATCAAACTATCAAGAACCCAGATATCCCCAATAATTAGGAGTCAGAAATCCGCATCCGTCGAAGAAAGGTATGTTTTTTCAGAAAAAAGTACGTTTTTGTGTCTGATTTCGTAACTTAAAACATCGTCTGCACTTATTAATCAGTATATTTGTAGTCACCCCCTCAAATCATTAAGATTTAGTCCTAGAACTTAAAGATCCGATAATTAGATCAAAAATTATTCAAGATGGTCCTTTTTTTTTAACCCTTTTTCTTCGTTGAAATTGGAAATTTTAAATTTTTTTTTCCTGACGTTCTAATTACAAGCAAAAATATACTTTGGTATTTCTGAGTGACAAAAGACTAAGTACTACTAGTTACTAAATATTTCTGTTAAATTATCGGAATTATATTTGTACAAAAATTTAAAATCACAAAATAGTAGTTTGAAATTTTTTCTCATTCATATTCAATTGTTTATCAATAATTAATTTAGTTAGTAAATTAAAGAAACTTCAATGATGGATAATTGTTTCGCTTCAATCCCAGAAAATGCATAAAAGTGCAAATTAGAAAAATTATTGTTAGGAAATAAATCATGTTAAGAAGATTTTATTAAAGTATTAAAATGTTAAATATAAAATTGGTTTAATTACTTTGACCTGAATTAATTCAAAATAATGAAAAAAGTATGAAAAATAAATTTAATGAAAATTCTGCGTCAAAGGGTTAAATAGTTTATATAGAAATACATTTCGAATACGTATTTAAAAACTGGTGTATTTGCATTTTTTTTCTTATAACCGTCCTTGAACAGCCGACAAAATTCTGGGTTTAAGGCTATTGTTCAACTCCGTAGCCTTGTAACTTTGAACCAATCCAGAAGACAAGGAAACTACTGGATCAGTACCCCCAGAGGTATGATTTGTTATGGGAACATGGAGGAGTTTGTGATTCGACAGATTTAACGTGCATCAGTCACCATTTACTACAATGGGACTCTTCGACCGGCAGGGATTGAACCCACGACCTCTTGCACATGAGCCCAGTGCCCTACCAATCACGCTATTCCGGCCCCATGTATTTGCATTTGGTGTAACTAGAACTTTAATTCCAAAACTTTGCTAAATAAAATCAATGTATTTAATCCATAAATTAATTACTAAAGCATAGTTATGCTCGATTTGTGATTATTATTTTTAGCATTGTAATAGATTCATAATTCTAATACTCAGCACAATTAATTTTAATGAGCCAACTATCTCAGCCACTTAAAAATCGTTTCATGTGTGAAGAAGAAATAAATATAGGAATTGTTTTTTTTTTTTGTTGTATACAAATTATATATTTTTTGCCGTCGAACATTTTTATGTACTTAAATTACAGTGAAATAAATATCGTTCTTTTCTGTAACACAGTGTTTCCCAAAGTGTTGTACGCGTACCCCCAGGAGTAAGGGAACAGTTTAGCGGGGGTACGCGTCCTTATGCGAAATATCTTGCAACAAACGAAAATTTCAAAAACAAAAATTTTAAAACAAAGCTAGCCATGAAAATTTACGATTACGTATTTCTCTATTGGCTATTTTTGCAGAGTTAACAGTTTATAATTAGTGGTGTCAACAACCAGATGTGATTTTTAACTTTAGTGCAATTTTTCTACAGTAAAAAATACATTAATTTTTTTTTATTAGTGGTACACAGCGTTATGAAAAATTTAGAAATGGTACACAAACGTCATAAGTTTGGGAAACACTGCTGTAACATATTTGTTTGTTAAGAGGATATATTAATCCTAACATAATAAATACAATTTAAATGTAAAAATATACCCCAAAAAAATTTTTTTAAAAAAAAGTAATTATTCCCGTAGCTTCTTGAATATGACACTACTCTATGTTGTGAATTATGATACATTTTTAATTAAATATAACTTTAATGTTTACTTCGATTAAATTTCTCGTGAAATTTTCTGTTTTGCATAAATTAATAAATATCTCACAAAATAAGACCTTACCCTTGTTTTCTTGTAATAAGAACAAAATCTTCTTCATTGGTTCGGGGAAGAAAGCGAATGCATGTTTGCCTGTGGTATTCGTCGATAGCTCTGGCTATTATGCTTCGTTCCTTTGGGCCTGTTTTGAAACAAATAAAAGTCTCGAATAAGACACGCATTATTTCATTTCAACTATTTAAATTCCAGCCATGATTAAAACGTAAAAATACAAGTGAGGGTGAACATTAAAATAGTGTTTAGTTCGTTAATGTTTCAAATATAAGGTACTTAAATAAAATAAAAAAAAATGACGTAAAGATCAGTAGGGCGCCTAACTTTCTTAGGGGGAATATGACATGAAAATTAAATTCTGAAAAAAAAGTAATAATATTAAAATTTTTTTGAAACCGTAAAATTCGTTTTGTTTATTCATTCTAGATTCGAATTTTTACCCTATGAGTTTGATCTTCATTATTGTTTCAATATTGAATTGATTTTGAAGTTTTATTTTACTAAGTCTACACTATGAATCTGTGTCTGCGTTTTTTTTTTTTTTAATCAAGTGTTTTTTAATTACATTTTCGAAAATTAAGGTCTACAATTTTTAAGAGGACATTCAAATTTTAATTGTTTATCAAAATTTTGCTCTTAAGTCTTTATTTTACTTAATAACCCGCTTTGAACAAACTGACAATTCCGAGTTTATGACAATCACTGTTCAACTCTGTAACTTTGAGCCTACCCAGAAGACAAATGAATACCTGGATCAAGCCCTAGGGCAAACTAGCCTTCGTGTGAGATTTTTTGTTGGAACTAACCCGCATTTGAGTTACATGAAGAGGAAAACCACGAAAACCTTCAACGGCAAGCCCGGCGACAAGGGGATTCTAACCCAGGATCCCTCTACCACTTAAGATATTTTTATGTCAGCACAGTGGTTGGTGCAAGTCAGGAGCAGAATTCTTAATCAGCAACCCCCTGGGATTCGAATGTGTGTTGGAAAATAGTTTATAGTATGAAGCTTTTAGAGAACTTAACATTTTTTTGTACTTTTCGGATAGCCGGGCGTAAGTGTAAAGTAACCGATAAAATGTAGACCTCCACCCACTTTTCTTTACTATTTTTTTTTCTTTTTTTAAACACTAAACAAAATGGATGTTTTCAACAAAAAAAAATGGATATTCACAAAAAATTTTTTAATAAAATAGGAGAAAGTTAAAAAATTATATATTTACCTGCTCCCGGACAATCGAAAATTAACAAAACTTTTATTTAATTAAATAACAGTTTGGTAATTACGAAAATTACCCAAACTTTTTATTACCAGAAAAGTTAAGTTTTGAATTGTCTGTACTAAAAACTGACGAGATTCTTTAAAAGAAATCTGTGAAGTGAGGCAAAGGTTTAGTACCAAACTTATTTCACTTACCAAATACACCAGAAATAATGTAAGGAATTTCACCCCGGGGCCATTTCATCCGATTGTCCCGAATAGCATTTCGACCCTTAAAAGAAAACGAAGAAATAATGAAGAAAAGCTATTTTAATTAATAAAGGCTAAAAAAGTCAATAGAATAATAACTGTAACTCTCACTTGTATGAGTTTAGGATCCTTGATGTCTCCTTCGAAATGCCCGGATGTATGGATTGGATCAGAATTTAATTTGGGGGCGAAATCTTCATCTAAAAAAATTATAAATAGTAATAAAACTTAGATAATATAATTTTTTTTTACTCGGCATTCTGAGAATCACGGAAAAAATATATCGAAATTTTTTTATTTTATATAAATACCGTATCAGTGATGCTTGCTTAATTAACCACCGCCTCTACTAGCATTGTTTTGTAATCACTAATATAAGTAATTATATCAGTGCTAATTAGTGCCAAATGTGCTAATATAAGTAATTATATTAGTGCTAGTTAGTGCCAAATGTGCTAATATAAGTAATTATATCAGTGCTAATTAGTGCCAAATGTGCTAATGTAAGTAATTATATTAGTGCTAATTCGTGTCAAATGTGCTAATATAAGTAATTATGTAATTATGTAAATAATGTGGTGATAAGTTTATTACGCCCCCCGGAGGGGCAGGAGCGGATCCAGAAATTTTTCCTTTGGGGTCATAGACTCAGACCTTCCCCACACACACACACACACAATTAATATTTTTTATAAAAAAAAAAATTTTTTTGAAAAAAAAAAAACTTAGGTTTTTAATGCTAGTCTTTTCATTTATTTTTTCATAATGAACAATACATAAATAATTCAAGTATTCAAAATCCTTAAATAATAAATGTAATGCGTTTTTTAGAAACGTTGGCAAATATGTCAATGAATGACGCTTGGAGCTCTTCAGCATTATTAATGTTTACAATGAAACTATGATGAATTTCGTTTTAATCTTTTGGATTATGATTCTTGAAACAGTCAAGAACATAATTAGATGGGGGGGGGGGAATTGATTTTTCCGACCTATCTAGGTGTATATGCCCCCTTAAATAATTTTTAAAATATTTTATTTCATTTGCAAACTACGAAAAAAATTATTATTTTTATTTGATTTTTCAAATTGTTTTTTTTAGGGGGGCCGCTGGATCCGCCACTGCGGAGGGGGTAGTACAGGAGAATATTGCTTGATTGCGGTATGTTAGCCTTGTGCAACATCATCATGCTGATGCACAAAAAGTTAAGCGTTCTGGTTCTATGCATTATCTCTCTTAGACACACTTTTTTCTTTTATATACATAATTTTAAAAAAAATGTAAATCAAAAGTTCCGCAGTCAGGTTCATTTCGTTCTAAAATTGTAATTATTCCGAGATAATTTGAAGATCATCATACTATTTGATCATTTCCTATAATATTTGCTTTAAGTGAATGGTTTTCTTTTACATATACGCAATCATTAGAATCACTTTTTACCATAGCTGACAAAGTCGCGAAAAACATAGTGGCTTAAATGCATACACCACTTTCCTTGAAATTCGGATTTGGGTGGAGTTTTTCTGATGACATCGGACACTACGGTTGAATTACCGCAACCCACAGGATACATAAATATGACTACTAGTAGCCCTTTGGTGTTGATTTTCAGACCTTTGAAACCACACGTGCAGACGCGGACTATAATCTTATCACTGAAATCTAAATTATGTGATCTGCAGGCGTGGAGATGGTGCAGAAATATATCCCCTCTAAGGAAAATAGAGAAAATACATAATTTGCCGTCCTTAGCCCCCCCCCCCCACTGGACAAGGGAGAGGAAAGTTTTTTTCACAATTAATAGGTTAGAGAAGAGAGTCTACAGCTGAAGAAATAGAAAAAAAATTATTGATTTCGCCCGAACCACTTTAATTTAAGAAGCATGTCTATCTGTATAATTAAGAAATGTACAAGGCCGGATTTACCATTAAGCACACTAAGCACGTGCTTAGGGCACCAGAGGATAGGGGGGCACCACAAAGCCTAACTAAATGTTAGCAGTAAAAAAAAAAAAAAAAAATTCTTAAAGCATTGATTATAAATTTATTATTTTGAGCTTCCTTTTTAAGAGTAGATAACAACCATTCCTAAGTACGAAATTTCACATAATAAAAAAAAAACGAAAGAAGAAGGAAAGATTAAAAATTTTTGGTCTTATAATGAAATTAGGTAGTGAATTTCTATGCGATAAAAGCTCTATTTATCCATTACAATGATTCTATAACATACTGCTACGATTCATGTTTACAGAATATTTTTCGCAGTTGTAGCAAGTTAATACTTCGGCAATTAGATTTTTTTATGAAAAAAAAATTTGATTTACAAAATTTTGATGATGTAAAAAATTTGATTTTTGATGTGAAAAAAAAAACTATGTTATGCATGTTTTTGTTTATACTATATTAAATACTTGCTTATACTATATTTTTGATTATATTCTTATTGCAACTGGAAAAGAAGTCATCAAATTACGTAAAGGTTGTGTTGCAACATTTTATTTCAAAAATTTACGTCAAATAATTTTTTTTATTCACTAAATTAAGAAATGTTTAAGTATCATTTTTCGAAATTTCTTTGTGGAGGAGAAGTTAAATTTGCAAAATATATGACCATACATTTCGCATCACTTATGATTTTTTTTCCATCTATATATATCGAATATCGAAATTAGATTTTAAGATTTAATATATATACTACGTAATCTGAATGCAAGCAGCTAGTTTTTGAATAAGGAAAGAATTATAGGTTCCTTAGTCCTTAGGGTCATGTATAAATACAAACGTTATAAAATTTGAGCACAAACGATGAGTAAATTCACAATGTAAACCAGATGTTCGTTGACGTGAAAAATACGTTAAGAAGAGTACCCATTAAAACTAACTTTGAAATCAAATGTAAGAAATAAGAAGTAATAAAATCAAATTTTCAATCATTGAATTGGGTTTAGTGCAAGTAAACTATATTTTGTTCATCTTATAATGAAATTTGTAAAAATTAATATTAAGAAATAAGAAAAGTACGAATTAAGAAATAAGAAAATTTCAAATTAAAAATAAATAGCAAATTTAAGAAAGATATTTTTATTAATTAAATTTAAAAATATGTTTAATAACTAATAAGGAAAATCCTTAATGATAATGATTATATATATATACAATATATGTGTGTAATTTCATCAACTTTTATTATGATGATAATTTGAACATGTAAATATTTTGAATATAAAAATATTATTTCTGTCACTAAAAATAAATTTAATAGTTGTGCTTAATTTTTACTTGTAGTTCGTGTGTATATCAGATTGAAATAAATAAATAATTAATTAAGGTATTTCCATTGTCCATTTAACTTTTTCTTAAAATAAAAATTGGTCATTTTGCATAAACGAGTGGGAAAAATATTGTTGTTCCTGTTATTTTATAAGTAACAAACTGCTGGGAAACGTGGTTCAATTTAACCTGATCTTGCTTTCTGCCTTATAACAAACAATCCCACTGTAAAACAACAAAAGCTGTATATTGCCAGCATTCAACTTCATGAATTCGAAGGTTCCTGAAAAGGACCACCGTGATTGTCACCAACGTATGTGTTAGAATACAAAGCTAAATTTTCGGAGAAGAACCACTTTAAGGACAAGACAAGTGTAACCAATTGATTTACTACAGACTGAGAACATCCTTTCATCTCAGATATCTTTAAGCATCCTATAGGTGACTCATTCCCCCCTTCTTTTTTTTCAAAAGAAAAAAGGGTGCGTATCTCAGAAAATTCAAATTGTCTTCCTTTCGAGGGGGGGGGGGGGATATACAAATAAATGGTGACTTATAAGATTGAAGAAAGTGGGAGGTCTAGGAAAAGAAAAGTTTCTTGATTGACATAATTCTTAACCAATAACATTATTTATGCTACAATCAGTAACTAATTTCCCGTATTTATACAACCCCATTACTTAAATCGTACGTGAATATACAGAACGTGAATGCACTGAATCCTACATGAATGCACAGAAAAAGTTTTTTCTACTAAATCATTATTCTAAATTATTGCTCTTGAATGCATGCTGTAATAGTGTAAAGCTGATGTTGCTTCAGGTAGTAGCTAAACCCTTCAAATAATTTTATCAATAATTATTATTTATCGATCAAAATTGATTTTGTCTAAATCAATAAAAGTGAGGAGTTTAATTTTCCTAAAGCATTATTATATTTGAATAATAGAAAATTAATTAAACTTAAATGTAAAAATAAAATTACAATTAATAAAAATTATATAATTTTTTTTTTTACATTTTAAGCATTCTATTACACAATAATAATCAAAAGTAATAAAAACAAATTTCAAGTTTTTGTTAAAAATACAATGTGACATATTTTTTAAGAGGGGATGCCGTATCATACGTTTTAAGAAGAAATTAAATTTTTTTAATGATTGATCTTATCGAAATAAATTTCATTCTATGACGTTACAATTAAAATTGTTATTCGAATTAAAATTTTAGGTAACAATACACAAATTTTATTTCGATTTATTTTACGAATTTGTCTTTAAATGTTGTAAAGAATATGTAAAATATTTAGTGCATAAAATTTCAGTAGGCAAAGTAGATTTTAGTTGGTTTAAGATAAATGTTGGTTTAATAAAATTACATACAATACTTCTGTTTATGTTTCTAAGGATTATATATTTCCAACCCTAAAATTATTTTCTATAATACTTATGTGGTATTATGTACGCGTATGCATACAGGAATAAAAAATATCGTAACACAAAAAAAAGTGAATAAATTAAAAATGATGGTTTGTTATTTTCTACTGATTTTTATTTAAGTTTAGTTTTTATATTACATTCATTGTTGCTATATTTATGTTTTTGTTTTGTATTATAAAAACACGAATATTCTGAATTTGTAAATGAAAATCTGATCATTGAATTTATAGTTATTTAAAGTATTTTGTTTATGCATTTATTTACTTATTGAGGACAGAGTGTTTACTTACTGTAACAGCTTTTTCAGACCAAAGTTACAGCTATCACTTATGAGAATTTTAAGTACAGGTTTAATGTAGTAGTTTTAAGTGATTTCTATCATTTTTTCTAAAAGGTCAATTTTTTATTAGTCAAATTAAGATTTAATTGATAGTTATTTATTGCTCCTAAGCTCTTCTGTAGCTTTGATTTTGATAGGTCAACTAACTACGA